TTTTTTACCCGCCCCTTTTTTTTTTGGGGGCCGGTTTATTGAGTATGGGGGGTGACTTACTTTACGTTCGACTGCCGGGCTTAGCCTGATCCAGTTCGCTGCCAGGGCTTAGCCTGATGCCAGTTCACTGCCGGGCTTAGCCTGAGTGCCAGTTGACTGCCAGGGCTTAGCCTGAGTGCCTTCGACTGCCAGGGTTAGCCTGAGTGCCATTCGCTGCCAGGGCTTAGCCTGATGCCATTCGATGCAGGGCTTTGCCTGATTTCCAGTTCGACTGCCAGGGGCTAGCTGTGCCATTTGGGGCTTAGCCATTGCAGTTCGCTGCCAGGGCTAGCCGGGGTTTCCCAGCTGTTTTGGCATCATGCCAAATCTTGCACTCTTTGTCATGCAATGACAGCATGGAGTTGGAAAAGAGCACAACAGACCAGGTTACAGCTAGGCCCTTTTGGATTGAATTATTTTCAAAGGACATGTCCACACTTTAAAGTGTATATACTACAGTATGTGTCAGCCTACTTATTGTTTCAGCATTCGTAGATGATAGACGACCAACACTTACACCCAAAGGTTAGGAGTGTGGTTACTTGAAATTAACTTTGCCTTTAATTTTTTGGTGTTTGTAACCTAAAATCCATCCTTCTTATCAGTTTAACTAATAGGTAATAAATATCCTCTGTATTTACCCTGGACTAAAGCCCGGATTTATCACCCTGTAACTAAAATAAGTCCTCTGTGATTTATCATCCTGGTAACAAAAATCAGTCCTCTGTGATTTGAAGGGCGGAATGTTCTCTTTGGTTTTTAAATGTAAATGTAACACTACTTCTTTGGGAATAAAATGTAGTCTCTGTTTTCAATGACCTTTTCTGCTTTTGTTTTTGGAAAACTGTAAAGGTTTTTGCTATTAGAAGCATTCTTTCAAAAGGACCTATTTTCAGACCTGCTTTATACAGAACAAACTATAACATAATACTATTGTAAGGGGCCCTTTAATTATTTAATTGTTACATTTCATACTTATTCAACTAAACCATCATTAAAAAAACGCCACCTACTACAATCCTACATACAATCCAAGCCCATCCACACCTTGGCTAAACAAAAAGATTGTTTAACTAAACATTTTTGAAGCTCCGTTGTCGAAGCTAAAACATATTTGTAATCCAATGATTATTGGGGCTTTAAAGTAGAAATTAAGCACATCAACGCTCCAACTATATTTTTGACCAAAGCCACCAGCTAATTTCTTCCCATTAGTAGCTGTTTTCACAAGGGTTACCTTGATAAATTTTTAGATCCAACCCTGTTTGGCTATATGAAAAGTCCAAGGGTCCACTGAAGGACGGTGACTACAGTTGTAATGAATGGATAAAAGGCCAACGGGAGTCACTATACAATTTCCAACAGCAAGACATGTCTCATAGTCGATAAAGAAAAACAGCATGCATCTTATGTATCTAAAGATCTGATCATGAAGTGATGAAAGGGGCTTTGTTTCAGATACAAAGTTTCCCGATTCCCCTCCAAAAGAAGGGATGACCCTAAAGTCTAGGATCTTAGTCTAGTCGGGTTCTTCAATTCGGTCCTGGAGGGCTGAAACACTTCTGTTTTTATTTCTACCTGGTAAGTTAAATTCCAACCACCGGTGTCCCAGGTCTGAATTAGCCCCTGATTAAAGGAGAGGATGAAAAACAGAGGTGTTTCGGCCTCCAGGACCGGAATTGAAGAACCCTGTCTAGTGGACAAACTAAAAATGTGGAGCTATTCTAGTTGGGTCTTTTTGCCCATAGTAAAAGCCAACAACCGCAGTAGATCAGTTCCATAATCCATGAGTGGTTGATTGCTCTAGTCTGATGAGTGGTTGATTGCTCTAGTCTGAACTCCCTCAGTGAATTAGCTTCTAGTTCCTCATCCTCATCCTCTCCGAAAGAAAGCAGAAGACTCTTGTTTTTCACCTTCTTTTCAGACTTCTCCTTTTTCTCTTCTCTCCTTCACTTTCCTTCATCTTTCCTTCACTCTTCTCTTCTTGCTAGAGCTGGCGGTGATGCCCTGAACTTGTCTGAGGAGCGCTTCGTGGGCTTCTTGAACAGGATCTTGCCGTCCGCAGGAGGCTTGTCTTCGTAGGGGCAAGGAGAAGAGGCAATTAAGTTCAGACACACAGTACAGACAACACAGTCAGACACACACGCCAATTAACACCAAGTTCCCTTGATAGTTTAGGCTTTTTAAAAACAATTTATTTGTACAATTAATTGTTCTTACCTTTTTCTGTACCATCCTTTACCCCTTTTATCTGTAACACTTCTTCAGCGCTCAGATCTCCCTTTTTGAGAATGACAACTTGAGGCAACTCATCTTCACGATCACTGCCACTGTCATCCTCCATAGGCTGGCATCTCTAGACAAACTGCAAGGAAGGAACACGGTTTGAATATCAACCATCTTGACATCATGCCATCCTCCCTGTCCATGTTAAAATACACATATCTGCAAAAAAGCCCCTTCATGTCATGAATATATATAGTAGTCAAGGATTGAAGTCTGTGAGATAAAAACAAAATATTTTGGGGAGGGTGGTCAACTCTCCTGGATATTTTAGTATATTACGGCCTTGACTAGCTGATCAAGGTGTTAGAGCAGGGCTTGAACAACAACCTGCACATAGAGTAAGTCTCCCATGGGCTGCCAATATCCTACAGATATACTGTAGCCTACGTGCCACCTAGTCTATTTTCCATAGGCTAGCTAGCACATTAGCGAAATACCTTGGTATCAATGGTGGGTCCTCTTCCTTAAATCCCCATCGTTCTTGAATTCTTAAAAATGACGGCTCTGCTGTTTCAGGTTTCCCCACGATACGTTCCCTTTCGGACCCTTATTCTCTTTAGGCCATTTTGGATAGTTAGAAACAATGAATGAAACAAGGAATTTCAGGTTGTGTTTCGATAGCACGTCGGTTTACATAACATTAAATCGCATCACCCTGCGGCCCGCTGAAGTTCCCATGAGCCCGAGGTGAATCATTGGTTTAATCGATCGGATACTTTTTAGACAGGAAGTAGTCAAATATGTGACAGTACAGTCTCTAGTAATAGATTCTACTACCATGATCGTCAGGTGCCTTTTAATGCATATTAGCGAGCGGGCCTTTCTTGGAGCCGTTTGCCTCCTCGTCAGCCAAGCCTATCTCTGTGGCTCAGACTACCTCCAAGGCTGTGTAAAACAGGGGGAACGCCTGGGCTCAGATGGAGACTACAAGATTATCAGAGGAAACCCACCCTGCGATTGGGTGATGTGTATCTATATGAATGTATCAGTTTCAAATGTGTGTGGTGTGTGTGTGTGAGTACCATTCTAACATGGACCAGCTAACACGTCTATTGTATTCCCGGCTCCCAGCCCTCTGCGGCTGCTGTCAACTGTCATGCTGTAGTGGTGTGTTTGTGTTTCAGCTCCACATCCTCTGCGGGATGCTGTGTGTAGGACCATAACTGTTCATCAGTAATGCTGTGATGTGACCTTCTTCTTCCAATGCTTCTGAGACACTCCTCCTCCTCAGCCCCGGGCCACGTTCACCAACCACACCCGCAATCCAACTTTGTATCCTCTTGGGTTGAGTTGCAACTGGTTGATATCCATCAGGGCATGTATTCATAAAATGTCTCATAGTAGTAGTGCTGACTTTATGATCATTTCACCTTTTAGATCATAATAAATAATGAATTTATGAATACGACCCAGATCGCATCACTCCCTCTGAGATTCTTTATGAATATACACCCCAGATCTCACTATCCAATTTATATGACAACTCACTTACAGGACAAACGTTACCAAAGACCATAGTGAACTACATTAATTGTAGCAATGACATCTGTGAATCACTTGTGTGGATATAATTATTATTGGCTACTTAGTTTCAATCCCCCACTTAATCCTCTGTACCGTCTTTAGGCATTCGTTGGAAGCTGATCTTTGGTGAGAACCATGCACACTTTGGTGGGTGGGGCATCTCTCTAACTCTCCGGGTTTACTGGTTCTGCACAGATCGACTTCTCGCCACAGAGGCCAAGAAGGAAAGTGAAGGACTGTCACATGTGGAATAACATACCACTGCATCAATCAATCCTACTGTAACCGCCTCACTGTTTCTGCTACTAGTACATGGCCGTCACTGTTTCAATCCTTCTGTCCCGCCCACTGTTTCATCCTTCTGTACCGCCTCACTGTTTCATCCTCTGTACCGCCTCACTGTTTCATCCTACTGTCCCGCCTCAACTTTTCATCCTACTTTACCGCCTCACTGTTTCTCCTACTGTACCCCATCCTCACTCTCACTGTTTCATCCTACTGTACCACCACCTCACGGTGTTCACAAACCTTTCTGGCTCACATCATCTGGATTTTCACGAGAACATTTTCTATTATCAAATGGGCTTTGATGGGTGTCAGTCCCACTTGGATTTTCATGGCAGTTTATAAAACTGACGTACATGGATTCTAACATGGCAAGTTTAACTGACGGTATGGATTCTAACATGGTATGTTATAACTGACGGTACATGGATTCTAACATGGTATTTATCTACTGACGGTACCATGGATTCTAACATGGCATGTTATAACTGACGGTCGCATGGATTCTAACATGGCATGTCTTTAGCAACTGACGGTAAACATGGATTCTAACATCTAACAATATCATGGTTATAAACTTACGGTACATGATTCTAACATGGCATGTTACAACTGACGGTACATGATTCTAACATGGGTATGTTATAACTGACGGTACATGGATTCTAACATGGCAATGTTATACTGACTTACATGGATTCTAACATGGTATGTTATAACTGAACGGTACATGGATTCTAACATGGCATGTTATAAACGACTGTAGCATGGATTCTAACTTGGCAGTTTACAACTGACGGTACATGGATTCTAACATGGCCTGTTTACAAACTGACGGTACATGGATTCTAAATGGTACATGTTATCACTGACGGTACCTGGATTCTCACAGGGTAATGTTTACAACTGACGGTACATGGATTCTCAACATTGCAGGGTTAGACTGACGTACCGGAGGATTCTAACATGGCCATGTTATAACTACGGTACATGATTCTAACATGGTAATGTTAACAACTGACAGTGGTACATGTTCTACATGGCATGTTATAACTTTGACATTGTTCTATGTCCTTGCTGTCTCTTTGGTATGATATATAACCACGGGCTGAACCCAACAATGGTCAGCTTTCCTTCCCTACCCATTATTCATTCAAACAATGCATTTTGAATACTACCATTAAGATGTATATTTTATAGAAAATATTTGTAATGACCAGTAAGCTCTGCATATCAATTCTCGAAATAAGAGTTTTTTAAATATATCACCTTACCTGAATCTCTTGTTCACTTAATCTCTGACTGACCTGTTTCTTTATTCTGTAGTCCGTGCTATTTGAGAACCAATCAATCCATGGATGACTAAGATAGTACATTCCCTTTTGTCAATGTTGAGTAACAATAGTGGTCCCATGAATATGGAGCTTTCAGTTGCTGTAGAAGTCCTCCCTGGTAACCATCCGTATGTATTACAATCCTGTACAAAAGGATAAAGTGCAGTAACAACAACCATTCACTACCATCTACCTACCCCCCCCATCACTACCATCTAACCCCCCTTTGCTAACACTTACCCCCAACGCTATCATCTAACCCCCCAACGCTCTCATCTAACCCCCCAAACGCTATCATCTCACCCCCCAACGCTATCATCTAACCCCCCAACGCTATCTCTAACCCCCCAACGCTATCATCTAACCCCCCAACGCTATCATCTAACCCCCCAAGCTATCATCTAACCACCCCCCTACACTAGCATCTAACCACCCAACGGCTATCATCTAACGCCCCCAACGCTATCATCTAAGCCCCTACGCTATCATCTATCTATCCCCCCAACGTATCATCTAACCCCCCACGCGATCAATCTAACCCCCCAACACTATCATCCATTAACCCCCCTACAAACTATCATCTACCCCCCCGACCGATCATCTAACCCCCCTACACTATCATCTACCCCCCAGCTATCATCTCACCCCCCCTTCCATAACATAGTGTTTGCGCTTCATTTCAGATTAAGACAAATGATAATATGCATGAACAATTGTATGTTAACATTGATGTTTCTTGAACATTATAATGGAATTTTTTAGATAAGGCCCTTTAATAAAACACACTTATAACGGTAATGTAATTCTCTGACATGATAATACAGACATCAAAAAAGGTTAAAAACTGTTACCACCCTGCATACCTTTCAGAATAAGGCTAGTAACTGTCATATCTCATTTGACAGTTTATAAATAAAGGCACTCAGTGATAAGAGTAGAGGAAGCCACAGACGTCTAGATTCCTGCACAGTCCACAGGTCATTCTAGCGCTCTTCCTCACCCCAACGGAACATTGCAGACTGTGTATGCAGGGATGCTCTTGAGTACTGAAAGAGCACGTTGGGGTCATCCAACTCGTCCCCGTCGAACTTACACCTCATTCCCAATCGCAGGGTCATAGACCCTTGACATTTTGTGGGTCTTCTAATATAGATCCCCTTTAAGGGCTTGGTCCATCTCAGTACACTGTAGGAGACAACCACACTAGACCAGTGGAGTCTCTATAGAAATAGATGAATAAGAAACTGGCGTTCCCCATTCAAGCCTAGTCCCCGACCCCACAAGGGTGTCCAGGTGTAGTTGGGATAATGCAAAAAATGAAATGTCCAATGCACTCTGGTGCGTATAATACATACTTGTCCATGTGTAACAGGAACCACTGAAGCAACCTCCTGATCATTATTATTAAGCACTGGCAGCATATTGATCACAAGTACCAGGCCATCCATAGGGACGTACCCCTGGTTCACCATCCTAATGGCAGTGGTATAACCCAGCCATCCATAGGAGCGTACCCTGAGTTACCTCATCTAATGGCCAGGGTTATAACCAGGCCATCATAGCGAGCGTACCCATGATTTAACCATCTAATTGCCAGGGTAGAGGTTCCACCGACGCCCCATTCTATTCGTTCTACTTTCTATGGGAGTCTATGATACTCAGACCAGTGGTATCTCTATGAACTCCTCCTCGATGATCTTCCCCTGTTTGCACACCACGTGGGCATTGGGATCCCTCTTACACTGGAAGGTCAGAGAAGGGGCTGAGCCATATGGAGAAGGGCCCTCCAAACACTGACTTCATGGCCTCCCAGCATGAGTCTTTCTGCCCACCTGCCTGCTCCCCCCTTCAGACGCTCGATGCCCTGGACAGAGAGAGAGAACACAGTGAGCTTAGACAGAGGGACTGAATCAAACTTTAATAATCATTTAGGGGTCAAAATTGTTCACTTAGTCATGCATTGGTTTCAATGGAGAGAAAGTGAAAATGGTTTTCCTTTTCCCTGAACCCAGTGAACCCCTCTTGACTAACATGCAGGCTCAATGGAAATCCGTGGGTGTGGAACCAGGCCATAATATTCTGAGAAGGCCTGACCTGACAGTGTGGTCTTTTCCTATGTGTTTGTGAAGTTGGCAAAAACACTGCAGTGAACACAGACTCTATGTGTTGGTGAGTTGGCACCAACACTGCAGTAACAGACTCCATTGTTGGTGAAGTTTGGCACAAAACACTGCAGTGAACAGCTCCTATGTTTTGTGAGAGTTGGCACAACAACCTGCAATGAACATACATCTATGTTTGGTGAAGTTGGCACAAACACTGCAGTGACGACTCCAGGCGAATTATGTCAATAAAAGACATCCATGCATCCCGTGGTCTTAAACAATAAAACCTATAAGGACCAGGAGACAATTGAAACATTCATAACACACATGCATGGATCTTTTTTGTTTCATGGAACTCATTCATCCCACAGTAACGTTAAGTGTGTACAAGCACGACAAAACTGTAATTGCCTCCATTCGTCTGTTGCAGGCTTCCTCCATCCCTACCATTCAGATAGCCGCAAGTCTGACAGCCTCAAGGTCCAGAAGAGACATTTAACAGCTCACTAGAAGTGGTATTAGACACAATCATTAACCAAGTCCCCCCCAATGCCGAGTGAGGATAGATAGACAGTGGATTGCGAAGTATTCACTCCCCTTGGCATTTTTACTATGTTGTCTTGCCTTACAACTTGGATTAAAACTGATTTTTTGGGGGGTTTGATCCTTTTATTTACACACCTGCCTACCGCTTTGAAGATGCAAATAATTTTTCTTGTGAAACAAACAAGAAATAAGAAAAACTGAAAACTTGAGCATGCATAACTATTCCCACCCCCCCCCCCAAGGCAATACTTTGTAATCCCCTTTTGCACAATTAACACTGCAGTCTCTTGGGGTATGCCTCTATAAGCTTGGCACATCTAGCCCACTGGATTTTTGCCCATTCTTCAAGGCAAAACTCCTCCAGCCCTTCAAGTTGGATGGGTTTCCGCGGGAGTAAAGCATCTTGAAGTCATACCACAGATTCCTCAATTGGATTGAGGTCCTGGCCATTGACTAGGCCATTCCAAGATTTCAATGTTGCCCTTAAGCACTCAAGGGTTGCTTTCGCAGTGTGCTTAGGGTCATTGTCCTGCTGGAAGGTTTGAACCCCGTCCCAGTCCTCAAATCTCTGGAAGACTGGAAACAGGTTTTCCCTCAAGAATTTTTTCCCGTATTTATGCCATCCCTCCTTCCTTCCATTCTGACCAGTTTCAACATTCCCTGCCGATAAAACATCCCACAGCATGATGCTGGCCACCACCATGCTTCACTGTGGGGATGGTGTTCCTCGGGGTGATGAGCGGTGTTGGTTTTTTGCCCCGACAGCGTTTTCTTGATGGCCAAAAAGCTTCTTCCGTATGTTGGGGGATCTCCCACAGTGCCTTTTGGCGAACACCAATGTGTTTGCTTATTTTTTTTTCTTAGCAAGGCTTTTTTTCCTGGCAAATTCTTCCGTAAAGCCCAGCTCTGTGGAGTGTACGCTTAAGGTGGTACTTGTACAGATACTCCACTCTCCGCTGTGAAGCTTTGCATTGCAGCTCCTTCAGGGTTATCTTTCTTTGGTCTCTTTGTTGGCCTCTCTGATTAATGCCCTCCTTGCCTGGTCCGTGGGTTTTTGGTGGGTGGCCCTCTCTTGGCAGGTTTGTTGTGTTCCATATTCTTTCCATGTTCAAAAGTATCAGATATATTTTATAACCCAACCGGATTGTATTCACCACCCTTTGTTCCTGATCTGTTGGAGAGCTCGCTTGGTCTCATGGTGCCGGCTTGCTTGGTGGTCCCTTGCTTAGTGGTGTTGCAGCTCTGTGGCCTTTCAAAACAGGTGTATATATATACACTGAGATCAGGGACGATCATGGACACTTAAGGGAATTTATTTAACTAATTATGTGGACTTCTGAAGGTAATTGGTTGACCAGATCTTTTATTTAGGGGCTTCATACAAAAGGTATACATATGCAGCACCACTTTTCCAGTAAAACATTTTTTTCCTTGTCCACTTCACCAATTTGGAACTATTTTGTGTATGTCCATTACATGAATCCAATAAAAAATCCATTTAAATTACAGGTTGTAATGGCAACAAAATAGGGGTGAATACTTTGCAAGGCACTGTAGGTGCATGCATACCAAACACCCATGCAATGACACGATATAACAGTTCCTTGGAGAAAGATCATTAATATGGACATGAAAAAATAACAGCGTTATTAAACAAATCGGAAATATTTATTATTTCTCTGCGTCAGTGTTGAAAAATTATCCGTAACAGTCAGTAAAAAAAAAAAAAAAAAAAAAGAACCATCTGTGTTAGGTCTTCACTAGCTTGTTCACAGGCAAGACATGCGCCGCAAGCAGTGTCAGGTCGAATCCCAAATGGCACCCTATTACATTTACATTTTTAGTCATTTAGCAGACGCTCTTATCCAGAGCGACTTACAGGCAGCAATTAGGGTTAAGTGCCTTGCTCAAGGGCACATCGACAGATTTTTCACCTAGTCGGCTCGGGGATTAGAACCAGCGACCTTTCGGTTACTGGCACAACGCTCTTAACCAACTAAGATACCTGCCGCCTATCCCTATATAGTGCACTACTTTAGACCAGGGCCCATAGGGCATAGTCATAAGTAGTGCACTATATAGGGAATAGGGTGCCATTTTGGGATGCATCCTCAGTTAGGTTACAGTGCTACTCAACAACCATCCATTCAAACTAAAACAGAATAAAACAGAAAGTAAAGAAAGATGCAGGAGAAGAACAATCCATTATCAACAGAGATTGAAAGAGATGTTTAGTCCAGGCTTAATCTGTGTCTGGGAAACCGATTAGCCTGGAGTTTTTTTACTACCTACAGTTTTTTTTCAAGCATACAAAAGATCACACAAGAGAAAGTAAAACTTTATAAACTCCACTGATAGATACATCTCAGGAAAAGTGCATATTTGTCATGACTCATGATGTGTAACCAGCTTGACATATTTTGATGTTGATATTCAAGTAGAACTACTACTGCATAATCAGTTTTGTTGGTTAATATTTTAGAATTTTACTTTGCAAAATATATTTGAAACTGTTAAGTTAATTTTGTGAACCACTACTTCCCTCTGGTTTCCACGTCTCCTGAATAACTCAAAATTAAGTTTAATTCCAACATAAAACGTATATTCTGGAGAAACTACAGAATACAAATCGTATTTTTCAAGTGCTTGGGTGATTGAGAAATATGCTGAATTTGGCACACATAGAAAACTAGAAAGCAGGATAATGAGTTACCGGCAACTTTCACACATGAAATATTCTGAAACAACTCCATGTTTTTCTTGTTCCTAAAGAAGGAATAAACTTGAAGGGGCGGCAATGATCTGCTGTAACTTTAACTTTCTTTATAACACACAGAAAATATGAGTGTTTTAACAAAGTAACAGATGGCTAACCTACTGGATCCTCAACACCTATACTTCCAACCTGGCTTTTTAAAAGCCTCTCAACGGTCAACTGTACAGCTATTGGAAAAGACAATATGTGTTCCCTGTGCTTGTCGTCTGTCATCAGAGAAGAATCACAAGGCAGGAGGGAGGGGGTTTTAGTTTTGACTGACAGGAGGACGGAAGGTAGCCTGAGTGGCCAGTCTTTTTTTGGTGCTATTATGCCCACTCCTACAAACTGTCACTCAAGCTGAAACTGGGGAGGTAGGTGTGCGGCCATGGGGGGGGGGCGGTGTAGGTGGGGGGGGGGATAGACAGAGACACAGGAGGGGATATATGAGAGAACAGAGTTGGAAGAGAGGAGAAACAAGGGGAGACAGAAAGCGGAGGGAGAGAGGAGAGACCATAGGGGAGACAACGTAGTGGAGAAGGTAGAAACAGAGGGGATACACCAGAGGGGAGAGAGGAGAGAACAGAGGGGAACAACGAGGGAGGAGGAAGACACAGATGGTAGACAGGAGGGAGAGAGGATAGAACAGAGGGGACTCCAGAGGGGAGAAGCAGGAGGAACAGAGGGAGAACGGATGGGAGAGATGAGGACCGTAGGGGAGATACACAGAGGAGAGAGGAGAGACTCGGAGGGAGAGACGAAAGATACGGAGGGGAGAGAGACGGAGGAGAGAACTGAGGGAGAGAGACGTAGGGAGAGAGACGGCGGGGGATAGCGAGGGGAGAGATAGCGACAAACTGAGGGGAGAGAGACGAGGGAAGAGAGACGGAGGGGAGAGAGACTGAGGGGAGAGAATAACGAGGGGAGGAGAGACGGAGGGAGAGAGACGGAGGGGAAGAGACGGAGGGGGAGATTAGAACAGAGGGGTAGAGAGACACGGAGGGGAGAGAGACGGAGGGGAGAGAGACGGAGGGGAGAGAGACGGAGGGGAGAGAGACGGAGGGGAGAGAGACGGAGGGGAGAGAGACGGAGGGGAGAGAGACGGAGGGGGAGAGAGACGGAGGGGAGAGAGACGGAGGGGAGAGAGACGGAGGGGAGAGAGGAGAGACACAGAGGGGAGAGAGACGGAGGGAAAAGTGATTCAGAAAAACAAAACAAATCAACAACATTCATAAGAGTTAAAACAAGTTTGAAAGTTTTAGAATATATATTTTTCTCTGCAACTCCACTTCACTTTTGTTCCCAAGCAACATAAAAACAAAAAACAAAATGTGGCAATTTAAAAAGCACGATCGATAAATTGTTCAGAGTTAGAGGGATTCCAATCCGGTTCAGCATTGTGAAGGAGTGCTGGGGAGGAGAGTCAGGGTGAGGTGGTGGAGGGATGGAGCGGTGTTAACACCTCTGTCTCAGAGTCTGCTTCCCCCCGGGTGGCTAAGCTCAGACCACATACTGGTAGGATTCAGCCTTCCCATGGGCCCTCCCAGATCGGGTCAACGGGATAAACCAGAACATGGAGAAGGGGTGTCCAAATACCGCCTTCATGTTCATCCACTTAGTTTTTTTTGCCCATCTTCTCTCCTCCTTTTTCAACTGTTCTATGCCCTGAAAACGAGAGACAACCAAACTTCAGTGTAATGTGTGTGTACTGTGAACCAATCCAAACTACTTCCTCCCTGACTGTCATTATAATAACTGACGAATCACAGGACACCCTTTGATTTTTCCTTTTGATTTAAAACCTCTTTCACTCTAAAGTCAGGACGTGGCTTAAGCTATGACTACCTGAGCACAGACAACAGACTAAATGTCCATAGACTAATGTGCTGACTAAATGTCCATAGACTAATGTACTGACTAAATGTCCATAGACTAATGTGTTGACTAAATGTCCATAGACTAATGTACTGACTAAATGTCCATAGACTAATGTACTGACTAAATGTCCATAGACTAATGTGTTGACTAAATGTCCATAGACTAACGGAAAGCATTCAGACCCCTTAACTTTTCCACATTTTGTTACGTTACAGCGTTATTCTAAAATTAATTAAATTGTTTTTTTCCTCATCAATCTACACACAATACCCCATAATGACAAAGCAAAAACTGGTTTTTAGAATTTTCTCCCCAATAAATAAATAAAATAAAAACTGAAATTTCACATTCACATAAGTATTCAGACCCTTTACTCAGTACTTTGTTGAAGCACCTTTGGCAGCGATTCCACCCTCGAGTCTTCTTGGGTATCACACTACAAGCTTGGCACACCTGTATTTGGGGAGTTTCTCCCATTCTTCTCTGCAGATCCTCTCAAGCTCTGTCAGGTTGGATGGGGAGCGTCGCTGCACAGCTATCTTCAGGTCTCTCCAGAGATGTTGGATCGGGTTCAAGTCCGGGCTCTGGCTGGGCCACTCAAGGACATTCAGAGACTTGTCCCGAAGCCACTCCTGCGTTGTCTTGGCTGTGTGCTTAGGGTCGTTGTCCTGTTGGAAGGTGAACCTTCGCCCCAGTCTGAGGTCCTGAGCGCTCTGGAACAGGTTTTCATCAAGGATCTCTGTACTTTGCTCCGTTCATCTTTCCCTCGATCCTGACTCGTCTCCCAGTCCCTACCGCTGAAAAACATCCCCACAGCATGATGCTGCCACCACCATGCTTCACCGTAGGGATGGTGCCAGGTTTCCTCCAGACGTGACGCTTGGCATTTAGGCCAAAGAGTTCAATCTTTGTTTCATCAGACCAGAGAATCTTTTTTCTCATGGACTGAGAGTCTTTAGGTGCCTTTTGGGAAACGCCAAGTGGGCTGTCATGTGCCTTTTACTGAGGAGTGGCTTCCGTCTGGCCACTCTACCATACAGGCCTGATTGGTGGAGTCCTGCAGAGATGGTTGTCCTTCTGGAAGGTTGTCCCATCTCCACAGAGGAACTCTGGAGCTCTGTCAGTGACCATTGGGTTCTTGGTCACCTCCCTGACCAAGGCCCTTCTCCCCCGATTACTCAGTTTGGCTGGGCGGCCAGCTCTAGGAAGAGTATTGGTGGTTCCAAACTTCTTCCATTTAAGAATGATGGAGGCCACTGTGTTCTTGGGGACCTTCAATGCTGCAGAAAAGTTTTTGTACCCTTCCCCAGATCTGTGCCTCGAAACAATCCTGTCTCGGAGCTCTACGGACAATTCCTTCGACCTCGTGGCTTGGTTTTTGCTCTGACATGCACTGTCAACTGTGGGACCTTATATAGACAGGTGTGTGCCTTTCCAAATCATGTCCAAGCGATTGATTTTACCACAGGTGGACTCCAATCAAGTTGTAGAAACATCTCAAGGATGTTCAATGGAAACAGGATGCACCTGAGCTCAATTTCGAGGCTCATAGCAAAGGGTCTGAATACTTATGTAAATAAGGTATTTCTGTTGGTGGGTTTTTTTATGAGGAAAACAAATAATTTAATCCATTGTAGAATAAGGCTGTAATGTAATGAAAAAGTCAAGGGGTCTGAACACTTTCCGAATGCACTGTATTGACTAAATGTCAATACACTGTATACTGAGGTCTAATGAACATAATTCCCCACTTCTGAGGCTCCATGAGAGAGAATACAGCCATAGAAATGTTGTCTATTTCTAGGAATACAACCTAGCCTTAACTATGTAACCTAGCCCTAACTAGCCAACCTAGCCCTAACAAGCCAACCTAGCCCTAACTAGCCCTAACTAGCCAACCTAGCCCTAACTAGCCAACCTAGCCCTAACTAGCCAACCTAGCCCTAACTAGCCAACCTAGCCCTAACTAGCCAACCTAGCCCTAACTAGCCAACCTAGCCCTAACTAGCCAACCTAGCCCTAACTAGCCCTAACTAGCCAACTAGCCCAACTAGCCCTAACTAGCCATAACCTCCAACTAGCCTAACTAGCCAACCTAGCCCAACTAGCCAACTAGCCCTAAAACTAGCCAACTAGCCCCTTAAACTAGCCCTAACTAGCCAACCTAGCCCTAACTAGCCAACCTAGCCCTAACTACCCAACCTAGCCCTAACTACCCAACCTAGCCCTAACTAGCCAACCCAGCCCTAACTACACAATCAGGCCTGAAGTTGCAGACAAAAAGATATTAGAGCAAGAAAGCAGAGTTAGTTTAGTTAAGAGTTTTAAAGCACATACATAGAAGAACACACAGAGAGATCTACAGTCTACTCACTACATGGTTTATGATGGTACAAGAGGAAACTGATCCTCTCACACAGATACATGGACACGTTTCTTCATACTTGCTGACAGTAAACTCAACAGAGCGTCAGCAAGCCTTGGCTGAATTTCATGTTCAAGTTTCAAGTTGAAGATTTCCTTTATATAGGAAAATCACTGTTACTGTAGAAACAAGACTAGACTCATAACTCCCACGAGGAGATGATCCAACTACAAGCAGAGCCTTTTATATACACACTCTCAGACACTAACTTCCACTTAAGTCCAATTTTCAGGAGACTAAGTGAACATTTTACGAAGTGGAAGTTTGGATTCACCTCTTTGAGGGTAAGCTGTTGTAGAGAGGTTAAGGTTCATAGGTCATACATACAGTAGATAAGCACCAAAGCAACAGCAGTGGGGAGCAGACTAGGCTTAAATACACAGGTCAAATACTTGAGGTGCACTTGATTAAGTTAGCCTGTCCAATGTAATAGACCCAGCTGAAATGCCAATGGAATAGTCATGAGTGCAAACTCCACACTGCACATCAGTCAAGCTAAATAAAGCACACCTAAAGCATTTGACATAACATTACGTATTTAATCCAGGTCTGATGAAGAGGAGGTGAAACACAGGAGAGAGGAGCATGGTGGTCTACTGCTTACCGTCTCATCTGTACAGATGGAATGGACCTGAGTCCCGAACATCACGGAGGTGAAGAGGAGGAAGAGGAGGGCCTCAAAGCACAGGAGGATGAGGAGGATGACGGTCGCAGGAGGTGAGAAGGAACTGCACTCTGGGAGTTGGAGTTCAGGAGGGAGGGAGGGGGAGGGAGGGAGGGGAACACATTTACACTCACGGCACAGTGAAAGCAACATTTCTAGACGGGCTGATGTGGTCTAGGCAGCTATATGCTGGATGCTAAGCATATCGTACATCACAGTCTTTTCAGATAGATGACTGGAACAAATGGCAAAATTGTGCATAAAGTTGTCGGAATTCAGATATGACGTCATTGTTTTAGCACTACCTACCGTTTTTAAACTACGGCACGTGACGTGGTTCAATGTGCCAATAGATCAGCACAATCTACTTTTGGGGTTTTTCAAAATTGGCAGTGTCTTGGAGCTAGAACTGAGATCATGTATACTGTGATGCCGAGGAACGGAGAGCAACGTACAATACGGAGAACTGAGCCAACAAGGCATTAGTGGTAAGTACATCGGGGCGGCCATCTTTATGGACCTCCTCTATTGATTGTATGAGATTGAGAATGTTGCATTGTGTGACAAGTGGTTTTAACTGTTGATTGCATCCACATTACAAATAATTATGGTATGAACAAACGCTAAATAGGAATGACGTTTCTCAGCATAGAAGAGTGAGCATCAGAGTTGAATCACACACAGACAGTCATACACTAACTGAGCAACATAGTGTGTATCTCTGCAGCACTGCAGTGACCATGTGGAAACGAGGCGACTCCATATTCCCTTTGAGTGGCTGGATCTAAACAACCTTCACAGAACTACTGAAACACAGTGCCCAACAGAACGACTGTGAAACACATGTCCCAACATAACTCGAAACCAGTGACCACAGAACTAGCTGAAACACAGTGCCAAAACTACTGAAACGTGGACCACAGAACTACTGTACAAGTTTACCAACAGAACTATGAACACAGTGACCAAAGCTAACTACTGAAACACAGTTACCAACTGAACTACTGAAACAGTACACAGAACTACTACTGAAACACAGTGAACAAAAGAACTACTGAAACCAGTACCCAACAGACTACTGTACACAGTGACACAGAACTACTGAACACGTGACAACAGAACACTGTACACAGTGACCAACAGAACTACTGAAACCAGTGCCCAACAGACTAACTGAAACACAGTGACCAACAGAACAACTGAAACCACAGTGACCAACAGAACTACTGTACACAGTGACCAACAGAACTACTGAAACACAGTGACCAACAGAACTACTGAAACACAGTGACCAACAGAACTACTGAAACACAGTGACCAACAGAACTACTGAAACACGTGACCAACGACTACTGTACACCAGGACCCACAGAACTACTGAAACAGCAGCCACGAACTACTGTACAACAGTGACCAACACAGAACTACTGAAACACATTCCAACAGAAATACTGAACCAGTGCCCATAGAAACACTGAAACACAGTGACCACAGACTACTGGAAACACATGACCAACCTAACTACTGAAACACAGTGACCAACAGAACTCTGAAACAGTGCCCAACATAACTCTGACACAGTGCCCTACCGAACTACTGTACACATGACCCAGAACTACTGAACACAGTGACCAACAAACTACTGAAACACAGTACCGACAACTACTGCAACACCAGTGCCCCCATTGACCAACAGAACTACTGAAACATGACGTTACCAACAAACTACTGTACACATGACCAACAGAACTACTGAAACCAGACCAACAGAACTCACTGAAACACATGTGAACCAACAGAACTACTGAAAACACAGTGACAACAAACTACTGAACCCAGTTACCAACAGAACTACTGAAACACAGTGCCAACTAACTACTGAACACAGTGACGCATACATAACTACTGTATCACAGTGACCACAGAACTACTGTACACAGTGCCAACAGAACTATACTGACACACAGTGACGCAACAGAATACTGAAACACAGGGACCAACAGAAATACTGAAACACATTGACCATACAGAACTCCTAAACACAGTGACCAACGAACTACTGAAACACGTGACCAACAGAACTACTGAAACACGTTACCAACAAACTACTTTCACGTGACCCAACAAACTGACTGACACCTTGAACCACAGAACTACTGAAACTACCGTTACCACCAGAACTACTGAAAACACAGTGACCAACCAGCAACGTACTGTACACATGACCAACAGAACTACTGAAACACGTGACCAACAGAACTACTTAAACCAGTACCACCGAACTACTGAAACACAGTGACCAACGATGAACCTACTGTACACAAGTGACCAACAGAACTACTGTACACAGTAACCAACAGAACTAACTGTACACCAGTGCCAGTGACCCACAGAACACTGAAACCACAGTAACCAACAGAACTACCTGAAACACGTGAACGAACAGAACTACTGTACACAGTGACGCAACAGAACGACTGAAACCACAGCTGGAACCACCAGAACTACTGTACACAGTTCCTGTGACCACAGAACTACTGTCCCAGTGCCAGGTGACCAAAACATAACTACGTACATCAGTGACCAACAAACTACTGAAACACAGTGACCAACAGAACTCTGAAACACAGATCAGTGACCAACAGAACTCCTGAAACACATGCCAGTGCTAACCACAGAACTACTGAAACCAGTGCCTTGACCACATAACTACTGTACACAGTGACAACAGACTACTGAAACACATACCACAGAACTACTGAAACCACCGTGACCAAACAAACCCTGTAACCCCAAAAAAAAAAAACCCAAAGGTGGAAAACCAACGAACTAACTTGTACACAGTGACCAACAGAACTACGTACACAGTGACCAACAGAACTACTGTACACAGTGACCAACATAACTACTGTACACAGTAACCAAGAGAACTACTGTACACAGTTACCAACAGAACTACTGTACACAGTAACCAACAAATACTGTACACAGTAAACCAAAGAACTACTGTACACAGTAACCACAGAACTACTGTAACACAGTGACCAACAGAACTACTGTACACAGTACCGAACCACATAACACTGTATACCCCAGGAACCAACAGAACTACTACTGAACACAGTGCCCACAGACTAACTGTAAACAGGCCCAACCATAATAAAAACTATACTGTACACAGGGCCCCAACAAACTCTGTTATCACAGTTCCCAACAGAATACTGTAACACAGTGACCAACAGAACTACTGTACCAGTAACCACAGAAACTACTTTACACAGTGCCATGACCAACAGAACTACTGTCTCACGTGAGCCACCAAATCTACTGTACACAGTAACCAACATAACTACTGTACACAGTTACCAACAGAACATACTGTTCACAGTTACCAACAGAACTACTGTACCGTAACCAACTAACTCTGTACACAGTGCATGACCAACAGAACTACTGTACACAGTGGCCAAAGTGACAACATAACTATTATCACAGGCCAACGAACTACTGAAACACAGTGACCAACAGAACTACTGACACCCAGTGCCTCAACAGAACTACTGAAACATCAGTGACCACCATAGTACTACTGAAACACATTGACCAACCAGAACTACTGAAACACAGTGACCCACAAACTACTGAAACACAGTGACCAACAAACTACTGAAACACAGTACAAAAACACCAGAACTACTGACACACCGTGACCACCATAACGACTGCAACACAGTGACCAACAGACTACTTGTACACAGTAACCAACAAGAACTACTGTACACAGTAACCAACAGAACTAACTGAACCACACGTCACCACAGAACTACTACTGAAACACAGTGACCAACAGAACTACTGAAACACAGTGACCAACAGAACTACTGAAACACAGTGACCAACAGAACTACTGAAACACAGTGACCAACAGAACTACTGAAACACAGTGACCAACAGAACTACTTCTGAACACATGACCAAAAACTACGAAACACAGTAGTGACCACATAACTACTGTACACAGTGCCAACAGAACTACTAACACGTGACCAACAGAACTACTGTACCCATGCCAGTGGACCACAGAACTACTGTACACAGTGCCAGTGACCACATAACTACTGTACACAGTGACCAACCAGAACTACTGAAACAACAGTGACCACATAACTAACTCGAAACACAGTGACCAACAGACTACTGAAACCCAGTGACCACAGAACTACTTTTACACATTGACAACAGAACTACTGTACCCAGTACCAACAGAACTACTGTCCCCGTGAACCAACAGAACTACTGAACACAGTGCCTCAACAGAACCTACTGTAACGTGCCCACAGAACTACTGTACCCAGTGACCAACATAACACTCGTACACATACCAACAAACTACTGTACACAGGTGGCCATGACCAACAGAACTACTGTTACACAGTGACCAACGAACCTGTACACAGTAACCAACATAACTACTGTACACAGTAAACCCAACAGAACGATCTGTACACACGTACCCAACAGAACTACTGAAACACCGGGACCAACATAACTAAACTGAAACACAGTGACCAACATAACTACTGAAAACAGCTTAACCAACAGAACTACTGAAAACATGACCAACCGAACTACTGAACCCAGTGACCACATAACTCTGTGAACACACAGTGACCTCACGAACTACTGAAACACAGTGCCCCATACAGATCCTAACTGAACACAATTCAGTGACCAACAGAACGTACTGAAATCACAGTGACCAACGAACTACTGAAACACAGTGCAACTAACTACGGTAATCACAGTACCAACAGAAATTAACTACTGTACACAGTGGAACCAACAGAAGAACTACTGTAGCACTGACCAACAGAACTACACTGTACACAGTAACCGAAGATGAATACTGGTACCCAGTGACCACAGAACTACTGTACACAGTAACGCACGAACCTACTGTACACAGTGACCACCAGAACTACTGTACACAGTGACCAACAGAACTACTGTAACACCGTGGCCCACAGAACTACTGTACACCGTGGCCCAACATAACTACTGACACAGTGCCCCAACAGAACTACTAAACTGTACACAGTGCCCAACATAACTACGTGTACACAGTGAACCAACAGAACTAAACTGTATTCACAGTAACCAACATAACTACTGTATCACCTTGTTCATTGACAACAGAACTACTGTACACCGTGACCAACCGACCTATCATGTAGCACAGTAACCAACATAACTACTGGACACAGTTACCAACAGAACTACTGTACCAGTTACCAACAGAACTACTTACACGTAACCAACCAACAGACTCTGTAACAGTGCCAGTGACCAACAGAACTATGTACACCGTGCCAGTGACCAACTAACTATTACACAGGACCACAGACTACTGAAACACGTACCACATAACTACTGAAACACAGTGACCAACAGAACTACTGAACACAGTAACCACAACTTACTGTACACATGCCCAACAGTACTACTGTACACAGTGACCAACAGAACTACTGAAACACAGTGACCAACAGAACTACTGAAACACAGTGACCAACAGAACTACTGTAACAAAAAACCAGTTTTTGACCAACATAACTACTGAAACACAGTGGACCAACCAGAACACTACTGTACACAGTGCCCAACGACACTGAACACCGTGACCACAGAACTACTGAAACACTGACCAACAGAATTACTCTAAACACAGTGGACCACAGACTACTGAAACACACGTGACCAACATAACTAACTGAACACAGGACACAGCACTCCTGAAACACAGTGAGCAACAGAACTACTGTACACATTGCCAACAGAACACTGTAGGCACAGGCCAGTGGGACCAACAGAACCTACTGAAACACAGTAAACCAACAAACTACTGACACACAGTGACCAACAGAACTACTGTACACAGTGACCAACAGAACTACTGAAACACAGTGACCAACAGAACTACTGTAGCACAGTGCCCGTGACCACAGAACTACTGTAGCACAGTGCCAGTGACCAACACGAACTACTTGTACCCTTGACCACAGAACTACTGAAACACAGTGACCAACAGAACTACTGAAACACAGTGACCAACAGAACTACTGAAACACAGTGACCAACAGAACTACTGTACACAGTGACCAACAGAACTACTGAAACACAGTGACCAACAGAACTACTGTACACAGTGCCAGTGACCAACATAACTACTGTACACAGTGCACATGCGTTGACGCAACATAACTACTGTACAAGTGACCAACCATAACTCTAAGAAACACAGTGACCAACAGAACTACCTGTCAACACCCAGGCCAGTTCATACCACAGTGAACTACTGAACACCCATGTGACCGTGCCACCAACTACTGTACACATGGACCAACAGAACTACTGAATACAAGTGCACCAATCAGAAATACTGAAACACAGGACCAACAACTACTGTATCCAGTGACCAACAGAACTACTGGAAACACCGTGCCAACAGAACTACTGAAACCAGTGACCAACAGAACTACTGGAAACACGTGACCAACGCACTACTGTACACGTGACCACAGCACTACTGTACCACAGTGACCACACAGACTACTGAAACAACATGACCAACATAACTACTTAAACACAGTGAACCAACAGACCTACTGTACATCAGTGACCAACTAACTACTTTACACAGTAACCACCAGAATACGTACCAGTGGCCAGTGACCAACAGAACTATACTTACACAGTGACCAACAAACTACGTACACATTACCACAGAACACTGTGACACAGTGCCAACAGAACTACTGTACACAGTGACCAACAGAACTACTGTACACAGTGACCAACCAGAACACTGTCACAGTACCACAAACTACTGTACACAGTGAACCAACAGAACTCTGTACACGTGCAGTGACGCACTAACTACTGTACTCATTAACCAACAGAACTACTGTACACATGACCAACAGAACTACTGTACAACAGTTGACCAACAGAACTACTGTACCATAACCAACAGAACTACTGTACAGTGACCACAGAACTACTGTACACGTGCAGTATCCAACAGAACTATGTACACAGTGCCAGTGACCAACAGAACTAACTGTACACAGTAACCACAGAACTACTGTACACGTGCCTAGTGACCAACAGAACTACTTGTAACACAGTGACCAACATAACTACTGTCACATACCAACATAACTACTGTCCACAGTACCCACAGAACACTGTACACAGTGCCATTGACCCCACAGAACTCCTGTACACAGTGACCACATACTACTGTACACAGTCCAGTGACCAACGAACTACTGTACACAGTGCAGTGACCAACAAAACTACTGCACCACAGTGCAGTACCAACATAACTACTGCACACCGTGCATTGACCAACAGACTCCTGTAACCAGTGCCACCAAACTACTGTACACAGTACCCAACAGAACGACTACTGTAACACAGTTGACCAACAGAACTACTGTACACAGTGCAGTATCCAACAAACTACTGTACACAGTGCCATTGACCACAGCACTACTGTACACAAGTACCAACAGAACTACTGTACACAGTGCCAGTGACCAACAGAACTACTGTACACAGTGACCACAACAGAACTACTGTACACATACCCAACAGAACACTTTACAACATAACCAACAAACTACTGTACACAGTAACCAAACAGAACTACTGTACACATTAACCAACAGAACTACTGTACACAGTGCACATGACCACAGAACGACTGTACCCAGTGACCCACAGAACTACTGTACACTAGTGAACTCAACAGAACACTGTTACATCAGTGGCCAGGACCAACAAACTACTGCACACAGTGACAACAGATACACTAACTGTACACAGTGACCCAACAGAACTACTGTCCGTGTCAGTGACCAACAGAACTTACTGTATCAGTGCTGTGACCAACGAACTAACTGTACACAGTGCAGTGACCAACAGAACTACTGTACCACAGTGCCAGTTGACCAACGAACTACTGTACACAGTGCCAGTGACCAGACCACACTAACTACTGGTACACAGTGCCATTTGACCACAGAACTACTGTACCCGTGTGCGGGTCATCCTACCTACCTACAGTGGTGTGCCGGGTCATCCTACCTACAGTGGTGTGCCGGTCATCCTACCTACAGTGGTGTGCCGGGTCATCCTACCTACAGTGGTGGTGCCGGTCATCCTACCTACAGTGGTGTGCGGGTCATCCTACCTACAGTGGTGTGCCGGGTCATCCTACCTACAGTGGTGTGCCGGGTCATCCTACCTACAGTGGTGTGCCGGGTCATCCTACCTACAGTGGTGTGCCGGGTCATCCTACCTACAGTGGTGTGCCGGGTCATCCTACCTACAGTGGTGTGCCGGGTCATCCTACCTACAGTGGTTGTCCGGGTCATCCTACCTACAGTGGTGTGCCCGGTCATCCTACCTACAGTGGTGTGCCCGGTCATCCTACCTACAGTGGTGTGCCCGGTCATCCTACCTACAGTGGTGTGCTGGGTCATCCTACCTACAGTGGTGTGCCGGGTCATCCTACCTACAGTGGTGTGCCGGGTAATCCTACCAACCTACAGTGGTGTGCCGGGTCATCCTACCTACAGTGGTGTGCCGGGTCATCCTACCAACCTACAGTGGTGTGCTGGGTCATCCTACCTACAGTGGTGTGCCGGGTCATCCTACCTACAGTGGTGTGCCGGGTCATCCTACCAACCTACAGTGGTGTGCTGGGTCATCCTACCTACAGTGGTGTGCTGGGTCATCCTACCTACAGTGGTGTGCCGGGTCATCCTACCTACAGTGGTGTGCCGGGTCATCCTACCTACAGTGGTGTGCTGGGTCATCCTACCTACAGTGGTGTGCCCGGTCATCCTACCTACAGTGGTGTGCCCGGTCATCCTACCTACAGTGGTGTGCCCGGTCAGGCTTGATGCTGCAGCATTTGGGACACTTGTAGACCACCTGTCCCGGCTTCAGCTGAAGACTCTCGATGTACTCTTTAGTGGCATTCCCTTTTGGCACAGCTCCCTGTAGGACATACAGAGCAATAGGAATGAGGACATGATGGCTTATCACGAGTCACCTGTTGGCACAACAAATGGGGCCTACTGTTGCAGTGGTCAGGCATTGTTATAGAATATCAGTGACGTGCTTTCAGTTGAAGATGGTGTTTTACTGTATGGCTGCTGTCTTGCGAGCTCTGACCCAACTTTGCTCATTTGTGAATCTTTAGCGATTATCTTTACTTATGATCGACAAGAACTTCTGAACCTCAGATCGGCAGTTACTAACCTCAACTCCAGCTTCAACATCGACTCATCTGCCCTGGGCTCTTTGTGTAATTCCGACCCAATATTTGGGCTATCCAAGAGGAAAAGCCGGCGAAAAAGAGGCAGGAGTGGGGAGTGCTGGCGAGATTAAGGCGAATAGAAAACCGGCCACCTCTGACCTCCGATAGCGGATTTGCTATCAACGGGACTCTCGTAACCACAATATTCTGGGCTTTTCTGAAACATGGCTTTCGGACAAGATACCCCCCCATGGCTATCCAACTCGATGGATTCGCCATCCACCAAGTGGACAGGACATTGGATTCAGGGAAATCCAGATGGGAAGGGGTAAGCCTCTTCATCAACAACAAATGGTGTGCTGACTGTAATATTCCATCAACACATCTCCTTGGCCACTAGGGGCGATAAAGTCCTAGACCACTGTTACTCTACCCACAAGCAAACATACAAGGCCCTCCTTCGTTCCCCCTTCAACAAATCAGATCGTGACTCTGCTTCTTATTTAGAAGCAGGAGCTCAAACAGGAAGTACCCGTAACTCGCTCCCTTGAGAAACGGTCCTCTGTTTCGGGGGCTATGCTACAAGACTGCTTTGCTAACGCTGACTGGAATATGTTCCGGGACTCCACCGATAGCGTCGACGAGCTAACCACCTCTGGCACCAGCTTTAATTAGGTAAGGCATCGCCAACATTGTCCCCACAGTGAAGGTTTGCTGCTTCCCCAATCAAAAATCCTGGATTAACAAAGAGGTTGGCGCTAAGATAAAGGACGGGGCTACCGCAGCCAACCCCGAAGCTAAGGATGAGGACACGAACAAGTAGAAGAAGTCCCGCTACGACCTCCGCAGAGCCTTCTAACAAGGAAAGGACAATATAGAAACAAGGTGGAATTCTATTACACATGCTCAGATGCCCGATGCATTGTTGGAATAGAGCCAGCAAGAAATGCATTTCACAGTACTAGTGCACTTGACAATAACAACTTGATATATGTGAGTAAGGTCGTGTTCAGTTAGGTACACAACAATAACAACAAAACGCTCCTTTTCCTGTTTCAAAACGTTTTGCTATGTACGGTGTGGTGCCCAACTGAATACAACCCAAACCCAGATAACACCAAGTTTACAGAGCCCCAGGTCAAAGTTTACAGAGCCCCGAGTCAAAGTTTATAGAGCCCCAGGTCAAAGTTTACAGAGCCCCAGGTCAAAGTTTACAGAGCCCCGAGTCAAAGTTTACAGAGCACCGAGTACTTGCCGTTAGCGGTTTTTCACCATTGTCCGTGGCCTGCACCACCTACCAGCCAGCTCTAGCCTGGACTATTATTCGGCCAGTCTGCACTGTCTGCACAGCGCGTTATCGACCCAGAACATATCAGTTTTTCTGCCGGAATCACTGGACCTTTAACTCTGGATTCATCGCTACCAGCTAGCTGCAACAAAATGGACGTTGTGGTTTGGCTAATCATCCTGAGCTAGGCCCGTCTCCCGGCTATCTACCTCTCTGTCAACCGGACGGGACCACCTAGTGTTGACACGGAGCCCCGCCGATCCTACACGACTGGTCTGCCGACAAAATCGTCTGATGTGGTTACAACAGGCTTCCCGTTACGACGTCGACCACGAAGATTCCATCTGCTAGCCCCGGCCCGCTAGCACACGCTAGCCGTACCCTCTTGCTCGCTAGTGCTTTAGCAGCCCCCGAACTACCTCCGAACTATCCTATTGCTGTTCACCAGACCTTATGATAACTCAGCTATACAGCTGATGCCTGCTGGACTGTTCCTTTTTACGGTACTGCATCCTGTTTATGTTTAGCCTCAGCCCAAACTGTGTCACCATTACCAGCTGTTGTCTTAGCTCTCTCAAGTTACACCTGCGATTGCTTTACGCCTCTCTCCCATGTCAATATGGTTTGCTTATTGCTGTTTAGGTTATTTCTAATTGTACTATTTCACTGTAGATCCCCCAGCCCAGCTAAACCTGCCTTAGATAGCTCCTTTGTCCCACCCCCCATACACGCGGAGACCGACTCAATCGGTGCCTCCAGTGATGCTATCTCTTTCATTGTTACCCAATGCTTAGGTTTACCTCCACTTTACTCATATCCTTCCATATCCTTGTCTGTACATAATGCCCTGAATCTTTTCTACAACGGCCGGAAATCTGCCCCACTTTATTCTATGTACCCAACGCACTAGAAGACCAGTTCTTAAAGCCTTTAGCCGTATCCTTATTCTAGTCCTCCTCTGTTCCTCTGGTGATGTAGAGGCTAACCCAGGCCCTGCAGCCCTCAGTATCACTCCTACTCCCCAGGCGCTATCATTTGTTGACTTCTGTAATCGCAAAAGCCTTGGTTTCTTGCATGTTAATATCAGAAGTCTACTTCCTAAGTTTGAGTTATTCACTGCGTTAGCACACTCCGCCAACCCTGATGTTCTAGCAGTGTCTGAATCCTGGCTTAGGAAGGACACCAAAAATTCTGAAATGTCCATCCCCAACTATAACATTTTCCGTCTAGATAGAACTGCCAAAGGGGGTGGAGTTGCAATCTACTGTAGAGATAGCCTGCAGAGCTCTATCATACTATCCAGGTCTGTGCCCAAACAGTTTGAGCTTCTACTTCTAAAAATCCACCTTTCCAGAAATAAGTCTATCACTGTTGCCGCTTGCTACAGACCCCCCTCAGCCCTCAGCTGTGCCCTGGACACCATATGTGAATTGATTGCCCCCCATTTATCCTCAGAGTTCGTACTGCTTGGTGACCTAAATTGGGATATGCTTAACACCCCGGCCATCCTACAATCTAAACTAGATGCCCTCAATCTCACACAAATTATCAACGAACCTACCAGGTACAACCCTAAATCCGTAAACATGGGTACCCTCATAGATATCATCCTGACTAACTTACCCTCTAAATACACCTCCGCTGTCTTCAACCAGGATCTCAGCGCTCACTGCCTTATTGCCTGCGTCCGTAACGGGTCCGCGGTCAAATGACCACCCCTCATCACTGTCAAACGCTCGCTAAAACACTTTAGCGAGCAGGCCTTCCTAATTGACCTGGCCCAGGTATCCTGGATGGATATAGATCTCATTCCGTCAGTAGAGGATGCCTGGTTGTTCTTTAAAAGTAATTTCCTCTTAATCTTAAATAAACATGCCCCATTAAAAAAATACAGAACTAAGAACAGATATAGCCCCTGGTTCTCCTCAGACTTGACTGCCCTTGACCAGCACAAAAACATCATGTGGCGTACTGCATTAGCATCAAATAGCCCCCGCGATATAAAACTTTTCAGGGAAGTTAGGAACCAATATACACAAGCAGTCAGGAAAGCAAAGGCTAACTTTTTCAAACAGAAATTTGCATCCTGTAGCACTAACTCCAAAAAGTTTTGGGACACTGTAAGGTCCATGGAGAATAAGAGCACTTCCTCCCAGCTGCCCACTGCACTGAGGCTAGGAAACACTATCACCACCGATAAATCTACAATAATCGAGAATTTCAACAAGCATTTTGCTACGGCTGGCCATGCTTTCCACCTGGCTACCACTACCCCGGCCACCAGCTCTGCACCCTCCGCTGCAACTTGCCCATGCCCCCCCCCCGCTTCTCCTTTGTTTTACCCCATATGTAACTCTGTGTTGTTGTTTTTTAAATCGCACTGCTTTGCTTTATCTTGGCCAGGTCGCAGTTGTAAATGAGAACTTGTTCTCAACTGGCTTACCTGGTTAAATAAAGGTGAAATAAAAAATAAAAATAAAAAAAGTTTACAGAGCCCCGAGTTAAAGTTTAGGGAGCTGTGCCGTGTGTAAAGTGTACAGTCAGAGCAGTGCATAGTGTGTTCAGTTTCAACTCACAGGGTCGGTGCACATGGCCCGGAAGTGAGAGGCGAGAGCCAGGAAGGCCAGAGTATTGAACACAGTGCCGTTGACTAAGCTATAGGTCAGGTTTTTAGAAGGCAGCAGCATGACGAAGAGCACTACAAATTCAGCATAGAACACCAACATCCAGGTGATGACCCCACACACGATGCCACACGCGTCCCTGAATGAATGGATGAAATAATTGTATTAAGACACATTGGAAAAAAACACAGTGTTGCCTCAGCTATTTGAGTTTTTTTTAAAAAATGCATACATTCAAATACATACGTCATTATGTTTAATGAAGTCAGCCGACTCATTTCCACTGTGGTGTTCGTTATCACCAGGTGGGCAGCTAGAATAGACAGCCTGGGCAAGACGTGCTGTGCACTGAGCACTTCAAAAGGGCACTTCACATTCAATACAACTGGAAAATACAGACAGTGAGGGGGAAAAAGTATTTGATCCCCTGCTGATTTTGTACGTTTGCCCACTGACAAAGAAATGTTCAGTCTATCATTTTAATGGTAGGTTTATTTGAACAGTGAGAGACAGAATAACAACAACAAAATTCCTGAAAAACGCATGTCAAAAATGTTATGAATTGATTTGCATTTTAAATGAGGGAAATAAGTACAAAATCAGCAGGGGATCAAATACTTATTTCCTCCTCACTGTAGGTCTAGACTAGACCAGGTCAGTAATCCAGTGATCTACCATGACCTCCCATTACAAAGACTAGGCTTAGGGTTGAAAAATGATACACTGCTCCAAAAAATAAAGGGAACACTAAAATAACACATCCTAGATCTGAATGAATGAAATAATCTTATTAAATACTTTTTTCTTTTACATAGTTGAATGTGCTGACAACAAAATCACACAAAAATTATCAATGGAAATCAAATGTATCAACCCATGGAGGTCTGGATTTGGAGTCACCCTTAAAATTAAAGTGGAAAACCACACTACAGGCTGATCCAACTTTGATGTAATGTCCTTAAAACAAGTCAAAATGAGGCTCAGTAGTGTGTGTGGCCTCCACGTGCCTGTATGACCTCCCTACAACGCCTGGGCATGCTCCTGATGAGGTGGCGGATGGTCTCCTGAGGGATCTCCTCCCAGACCTGGACTAAAGCATCCGCCAACTCCTGGACAGTCTGTGGTGCAACGTGGCGTTGGTGGATGGAGCAAGACATGATGTCCCAGATGTGCTCAATTGGATTCAGGTCTGGGGAACGGGCGGGCCAAGTCCATAGCATCAATGCCTTCCTCTTGCAGGAACTGCTGACACACTCCAGCCACATGAGGTCTAGCATTGTCTTGCATTAGGAGGAACCCAGGGCCAACCGCACCAGCATATGGTCTCACAAGGGGTCTGAGGATCTCATCTCAGTACCTAATGGCAGTCAGGCTACCTCTGGCGAGCACATGGAGGGCTGTGCGGCCCCCCAAATAAATGCCACCCCACACCATGACTGACCCACCGCCAAACCGGTCATGCTGGAGGATGTTGCAGGCAGCAGAATGTTCTCCACGGCGTCTCCAGACTCTGTCACGTCTGTCACGTGCTCATTGTGAACCTGCTTTCATCTGTGAAGAGCACAGGGCGCCAATGACGAATTTGCCAATCTTGGTGTTCTCTGGCAAATGCCAAACGTCCTGCACAGTGTTGGGCTGTAAGCACAACCCCCACCTGTGGACGTCGGGCCCTCATACCACCCTCATGGAGTCTGTTTCTGACTGTTTGAGCAGACACATGCACATTTGTGGCCTGCTGGAGGTCATTTTGCAGGGCTCTGTCTGGCAGTGCTCCTCCTGCTCCTCCTTGCACAAAGGCGGAGGTAGCAGTCCTGCTGCTGGGTTGTTGCCCTCCTACGGCCTCCTCCACATCTCCTGATGTACTGGCCTGTCTCCTGGTAGCGCCTCCATGCTCTGGACACTACGCTGACAGACACAGCAAACCTTCTTGCCACAGCTCGCATTGATGTGCCATCCTGGATGAGCTGCACTACCTGAGCCACTTGTGTGGGTTGTAGACTCCGGGTTATAGAGTGAATGCACCGCCAGCATTCAAAAGTGACCAAAACATCAGCCAGGAAGCATAGGAACTGAGAAGTGGTCTGTGGTCACCACCTCCAAAACCAGTCCTTTATTGGGGGTGTCTTGCTAATTGTCTATAATTTCCACCTGTTGTCTATTCCATTTGCACAACAGCATGTTAAATGTATTGTCAATCAGTGTTGCTTGCTAAGTGGACAGTTTAATTTCACAGAAGTGTGATTGACTTGGAGTTACATTGTGTTGTTTAAGTGTTCCCTTTATTTTTTTGAGCAGTATATATATATATATATATATATATATATATATATATATATATTTTTTTTTTTTTTTTTTATAGCCAAAATTCCCAGGTTTTCTGGAAGATTCCTGGAATTAGGTTGAAATAAGCAGGAAATTCAGGAATCCTCCAACCGGGATTTATGGGAAAAATTGGCAATTTTGGGAAAATTGAGCAACCCCTAACAGATGCCCATTCAAATGCATGCTGACGCGAAGGTCTAGCAACCCAAAACGTTGCGTGTTCGAACCACATGGACACCTTTGGTTCCCCGTGTGCCTCAGTTGGTAGAGCAACGCCAGGGTTGTGGGTTCGAGTCCCACGGGGGACCAGTACGAAAAAGTATGCACTCACTACTATAAAATCGCTCTGGATAAGAGCATCTGCTAAAAAGGACTAAAATGTAAATATAACTACCTGATAAACCACATGCTGCTGGAGGTGTGCTGGGAGACCGGGATATACTGCTGCTCAGTCTGCAGGCAGGCAGCCTGGCTCTCCACGTCCCTACACCTGAAGAACAACATGTTATTAACTCATACCAGATGGAAATGTCTTCTGCTGTACCAAATAGATGGGTCCTTTCTAGAAGTAAAACGGGGCTAATGTGTGGCCTCGGGATTAAAACGTCTAAATGGTTTGAAACTAAAATAAAAATAAAGGGTTTTAATGCAGTTCCACATGTGTACTTAGAGGAATAAAAGTTAATATATGCTAATTGTCCCATAACTCCACCTACAGAACAACATACCCCTAGGACTACACATCCTTTAAACAGGGTTCATTAAGACATCAGCAAGTCAAATTCAAGGACTTCTTAAAAGCACTTCATTGTAATTTTCAAGGACCTCAATGTTATACAATTGTATAACTTATATAAATTGTACAAAAATATAGATTTTTTTTTGTTGTTGACCATTACCACTAAAAAGTATGAATTGTTTTGCGTTTATATTTTATAATAATTTGACTATGTGAGAATAAGGTGGACATTGCCTGACTAAATAGACTGGCTGCATGGTGATTTTTCTGTAGACTGTGTGGCTGACGTAGCCACACATAATAAAGCCATGAATAGCGGTACCATTAAATCTCACCATTTGAATCTCACCATCGCTGTTTTTAACCATTAGAACAGGTTCCTTTTTTTAAATGGAAGGATTTGTATGGAATGCCAAGCTGAAGCCAACAGATGTTGTGGCCCTCATAATAACCACATGGTTTTACCGCAACACCCTTCCATTGAAGAGGTGGGAAACAAACAGTGGTCACATCTCACACAAAAAAACGGATCAAAAATGAAATCAGGGATAATTATAAAGGAGCAGGAGAACTTATAAAATTGGCTACAATAATTACAAGGACTTTTCAAGCACCAAATTGAGGAAATGTCTGATTTTAAAGGCAAGGCCTATTCCATAAATCACATTTCTGAGCTCCAAGTTCCAAGTAGGCTACTTCAAGCCCCTAGTATTGTTTAACATTGCAGGTGTAACATGGAAACCAAAACGTATTTGTCATGTTATTTCATTACCAGATCATATTGTGAAGAAGCCCACTAGGCTGTGTCATGTGAATATCCAGAATAATTCATAGGAATAGTGTTGGATGTGGGCGCAATAGTCCATCCCACACAATTGCGCACAGTAGGTCCCACACATCGCATGCTCTATCACAACAGCTGTTCCTCACTTGACTGGTCATTCGGAAAATTCCTTCCTGGATCAGATGACGTGTGAAAACTTACCGACAAGTATTATGCATAATTATTGAAGAACAACGTTAATGACAGTATCAATTTAGGTTTTAAGTATCAAGGTAAGGTGACTCTTTTGGTTAGAAGCATTCGATTTTGCAACCGCATACATAATTTTGGATTTGTGTGCCCATGAAAACTGTTTTCAGCCCGTAACACAAGGAGACACTACATGTTACTTAGTTAAACTGCATTTCTGAGATCTCTATACAAAAAAAAAAAAAAAAAGCCCAACAGCTAGATCCTGGATTCTTACAGGGTTCAAGTTCAATGTCTAATTTAACTGGTTAATCCTTAATATATGTTATAACGACAACCTTACACTGCCATAAATGCAAGGACAGAAAAGTAATGTTTTATGTCACACGATTATGGACAAATCCATCAACACACCAACCATGATAAAGGGTTATTAATCAACTCATTAATTTGATTGAATATAGCTATGATCCCCACTTATATCTTAATGTAAACGACATGAAAACAATTGGCAGATTATTATCAATGGCTGATCAACAGCTGTAACAAGTTGTCCAGTGTAGGAAATCCTCACTGGTACGCTAGTTTCTAGAAAGACCCACACGCACTCAGGCCCCTGCAGTCACACAAACACACCTGTGCACCGGGCTCTTCATTTTACAGACTCAGGCTGCCTCACCATCACCGCATGCTGTGGGCAGAAAGGGAAGAAGAAGAAGAAGAAGAAGAAGAAGAAGAGGTACGACTGTGAGCAAATAGTGGCACATTCAGTAAACATACAGGAGCAAGGTTTCAGTAGAGATAGACTACTGTATACTGTAACGCTGTACATTTCAGTAGAGCTAGACTACTGTAACACTGTACATTTCAGTAGAGAGAACATGGTATACTGTAACGCTGTACATTTCAGTAGAGATTGAATACAGAGATACTGTTTGCGGCTTTGTTAGCCGCGTACAGTGCCTTCAAAAAGTCTTCATACCCCCCTGACTTATTCCACATTTTGTTACGTTACAGCCTGAATTCAAAACGGATAAAATATTATTTTTCACACACCTACACAATACCCCATAATGACAAAGTCAAAACACGCTCTTACACATTTATTGATAATGAAATACAAAAATATCTCATTTACATAAGTATTCACCCCCCTGAATCCCCTTTGGTAGCAATTACAGCTGTGAGTCTTTCTGGGTAAGTCTCTAAGAGCTTTGCACACCTGGATTGTACAATACTTGCACATTATTTTTTTTTAATTCTTCAAGTTCTGTCAAGTTGGTTGTTGATCATTGCTAGACAGCCATTTTCAAGTCTTGCCATAGATTTTCAAGCCAATTTAAGTCAAAACTGTAACCAGGCCACTCAGGAACATTCAATATCGTCTTGGTGAGCAACTCCAGTGTATATTTGGCCTCGTGTTTTAGGTTATTGTCCTGCTGAAAGGTGAATTTGTCCCCCAGTGTCTGTTAGAAAGCAGACTGAACCAAGTTTTCCTCTAGGATTTTGCCTTTGCTTAGCTCTATTCCATTTCTATTTATTCTAAAAAAAAAAAAAAAAAAATCCCTAGTCCTTGTCGATGACAAGCATACCCATAACATAATGCAGCCACTACTATGTTTGAAAATATGAAGTGTGGTACTCAGTAATGTGTCATATTGGATTTGCCCCAAAAATAACACTTTGTATTCAGGACAAAAAAGTGAATTGCTTTGCCACATTTTTTGCAGTATTCCTTTAGTGCCTTAATGCAAACAGGAGGCATGTTTTGGAAGATGTTTTTATTCTGTACAGGCTTCCTTCTTTTCACGCTGTCAATTAGGTTAGTATTGTGGAGTAAATACAATGTCGTTGATCCATCCTCAGTTTTCTCCTATCACAGCCATTAAACTCAGTAACTGTTTTAAAGTCACCATTGGCCTCATGGTGAAATCCCTGAGCGGTTTCCTTCCTCTCCGGCAACTGAGTTAGGAAGGACGCCTGTATCTTTGTAGTGGATGGGTGTATTGATACACCATCCAAAGTGTAATTAATAACTTCACCATGCTCAAAGGGATATTCAATATCTGTTTTGTTTTTTTACCCATCTACCAATAGGTGCCCTTCTTTGCAAGGCATTGGAAAACCTCCCTGGTCTTTGTGGTTGAATCGGTGTTTGAAATTCACTGCTCGACTGAGGGACCTTACAGATAATTGCATGTGTGGGGTACAGAGATGAGGAAGTCATTCAAAAAGCATGTTAAACACTACTATTGAACACAGAGTGAGTCCATGCAACTTATGTGACTTGTTAAGCACATTTTTACTCCTGAACTTATTTAGGCTTGTCATAACAAAGGGTTTGAAAACTGACTCAAGACATTTCAGCTTTTAAAAAACATAATTCGACTGCCATTATGTGTGTATGCCAGTGCCACAAAATCTCAATTTAATCAATTTTTAATTCAGGCTGTAACACAACAACATGTGGAAAAAGTCAAGGGGTGTGAATACTTTCTGAAGGCACTGTACATGCACTATCTACAGTACTTAATGTCAATCCAATCACTAGCCTAATTTTCTGGTAGTGTAAATATTGGAAACATTAGCCTACACGGAAAATCTTCCAGAAAACAAAACAAGTGACCCATGAGAACAGAAATAGGTTGTTCTGTGTGTCAGATATCCACTCATGCGTCCAGAGCACGCAATCACCACATGGCAAAATACTGTATGCAGCAGAGCAGTGTTTGTGCACATCCCAAATGGCACCTCATTCCCTATATAGTGCACTACTTTTGTCCAGAGCTCTGTGGGCTCTGGTTAAAAATAGTGCACTAAATAGGGAATAGGATGCTATTTGGGACGTACACCCTGACTCAGTAGTATCACGGCTCTATGTGAACTGAAGTATGGCTGAGCTGTCTGAGCATTACCCCTCACTGTGATGCCAATGACAAAATTCGACCGGAGGATAACCCGAGGACAGACCACACCAGGACATCGGAGTTCTGTGTCATTTTCTGACGAAATATTGTGCCTGCTAGCTACCTAATAAGAACTTCTTTATACCAACATACCCGTAATTGGCTGCTACACACACACACACACACACACACACACACAGCTGTGATTAAATCACTGGAGGTGATGGTGGAAAAACCAGAGCAAGGGCATCACTGCCGCAACACATTGTAGCTGGCTGGCCTGTGCCGAATGTCCCACGACTCTCCCACCCACATTTAACCATCATGCTGCTAAAAGATGCGACAGTTTGCTGGAAAGGCGAGTTAGCCACTAGTGCGACAGTAGCTAACGTTACACACCAGCTGCTTTGCAATCTACGTTAATGTTTTTAACTAACTGGCTAGTTATGTGTGAGATAGTTTGCGCTTTGCGGATCCTTGACTAGCGTAGCTAACGCGTTAGATAGCTATGTAAACAGACACCTTGCCGTTTACTATTGTCATTTAACTACATATCAGCTAATATTAACTAATTGCTGGTAGCTAATCGTGTAAACAAATAATACTGGCTGTAGCTAGTTAATTAGTTAGCCATCTCACTACCAGGCTGGCTAGCTGAAAATGCGAGCTAGCTAACGTTAGCTTCCCTAGATAGCCAACGTTTGCTAGTAGCTAATTTACCTGTCTTCACATTGACTTGCCTCGCTGCCAGACTCCAGGAACGAACCTTCTTCAAATGATCTGAAAACAAACTACGGTAGATCATCTAAATCTCGTACAAATAGGCAGGAATGAATCCCGCAGCCCTCATCAACCCTGACCCTAGCTGAGGAACGCTCACCACCGGTCTCTCACGTCAAGGCGGAGTTGACTTTTGATGACTGGTCGCGACATTTGCTGGCGACAACGTTGAGTCACCATCAGTCCATTCTTGTAAAAATGTCCATTCTGAAAACGCTTACCGGTACCTATGTTTGTCCTGTAAAACTGCGGTCCTTCCGCGGGGTGCTGAAATATATACTTTTAATAAAAACGTTTATCGAATACAACCACCGACTTTTTCCTACATACGCTGAAATTCAATTGGCACATTCACGCTGAGTTGAGCTACACAAATGAGGAAAAAGTCGGTGGTTGTATTCGATAAACGTTTTTATTAAAAGTATACATTTCAGCACCGCAGTTGCACAGGACAAACATATGTACCGCTAAGCGTTTTCAGAATTGACATTTTTACAAGAATCGACTGATTTTGACTCAATATTGTTGCTAGCAAATCTCGCAACCGGTTATCAAAACTCAACTCCGCCTCGATTTAAAAGAACCCAGTTGAGCCTTCCTCAGCTAACGGAACCCCCGCGAGACAACTTCTTCTTCGTCTTGAAATTGTATTGGCGGATCGCATCCAACTAAGAGGTGAATACATGCCACCTACTGTACTGGAGTGTGAGGCCGGTTCACAACCTCCCTATACTGTACATCTACACGAAAAGAGAAGACAGATTGCCCTACCAACTAACCTTACATCCATTAAAACCTCACCACTATTCCACTACTTGGCCCTATCTGATCCTACATCAGGCCGGCAGCTTGGGAGGACAGGACACTTTCGTTCAACACACCTTGTAACTCCTCTGCAGTAAAATCTCGTACACCCTAGTACTTCTCTGCAGCTGCCAACTGACTGATCTACAAATCACCTTGCATCATAAATAACTACTCATTATTATTAGTAGATCAGTCAGTCACAATTTACACATGATACATTAAGGTTTTGATGCACTCGAATACGGTTCACCGATTCAACAGTTCCCAACCTCTTCTCCACTTCTACACTCACGCTCTATCTAGATCACCCAGAAGTCTCACTCGCACTGGACCAGAATAATCTTTGTCATCATCGGGAGGAGGCCCGAACTCTGCAGTCTCCTCACCAGGGGCGGTGTGTTCATTAGGGCGATATGGGCGACGCACTGCCAAACGGGAAAAGGAAGGGATTTTTTTTCTAATCAATTATATCACGGCAACAGTAGTTATCAGTGTTCTAATCTAGATGTCTGATCTGCCACTAAATGTCCAATCAGGCTAAAGTCGTGCTTCAAATGGCCCCGCCCCTTTTGGGGCGATTTCAGTCAGGTTGAAAATCGCCCCAGAAGTCTCTCATAGACTGTAATGTAAAATCTATTTTTTTCAAATATCAGAGCTTTCAATACAATCTCTATGGGTTTCTGAGGGCTTGCACTTACGCGCTTTCGTCATACGTAACATAACCATGAACGTAACTAAGAAAAGAGCGGGTAGCAGCGTCAATCAATTCACTTACTACTCTCTCACTCAAGATGGCTAGCGTTCAGTGCAACTCGATTGTCTCTTTGAAAGAAGTTCACATCAAAGACCATTCAAAACGAGCTACTGGAGTGTATGCTAGCGGTCATGAGGGAACATATTGTGGAGGAGGTGAAGTCGGCGAACTTCGTAGCTATCCAAGCTGACGAGACCACGGACGTTTCTACACAGACACAGCTGGTGCTTGTGCTGAGGTACATAGATAGCAACCACAAAGTGCAGGAGCGCTTTTTTGAGTTCCTTCCCATCTCGGAATCAACCTCAGTCTCAATCGCCAGTGTGCTTTTGGAGAGACTGAACGGTCTTTTTGCCGACGACGAGAAAGTCAAACTGTGGTGCACTGGCACTGTACCAGGTTCTCATGAGCTACAACCTCCAGGAGACGTTCTCTGAGACTGTGACTCTGTTGAACATCCTCATAACTACTCCCATGACAACAGCTGAAGCTGAGAGATGTTTCTCAACTTTGACACGAGTTAAGACATTCCTGCGAAATTCAATGGGCCAGGAACGTCTGAATGCACTGGCCATGCTTTCCATGGAGAGGGAACTAGTCCTCAGCATGCCTGATTTCAATGAGAAAGTCATTGACCGCTTTGCTGCATTGAAAGAGAGAAGAGAACAGTTTCAGTACAAGTAATGTAGCCTCTCTCTCTCTTTGTCCCTCCCTGTCTGTCTCTGTAACACACACACGCCCAAATCAGTTCACAGTTGATGTTGTTTAAAATAGTTATTTTTCATTAAAAAAAAAGTAAAAATAAATAAATAATCTGTTCATGTTCATTTTTACAAATCTATACAATTGGCCAGAATATGGTTGTTCATATTTACAAATCTATACAATTGGCCAGAATATGGTTGTTCATTTTTACAAAGCCATACAGATAGCTGTGTTTACCTTTTCTAGAAATTATTTTCAAATTCTGTTTTCAGGCAAAATGTCTATCACTGTTCATTTTCACAAATCTATACAAGAGGGCAGAATATGGAAGTCTATAAAAATTTCTTATTACCAATAACTTGCATCAATGTTTTCAGTAGCCTCTATCAAAAGCTCCTGCTTGCTTGTTGTGAATTATGCTCAGGTGCACATATTTCCAATTCAACCATGAGGCAAAAAATGTGGTAAAAGCTCTTGTTGATCCTGCAATCTGAACAAATACCAAGATGCTGTATTTTCAGCTGATATTTCATTTGTTTATGGAAATGCATATTGTTTATGCAGTGTTGAGGAATGTGAAAGAACACCCTTGATTATTTTTACTGTGATAACTTATTTGGCTTTTGTAAGCCAACACTTTTGAGATCAGTCAATAAATGCTTCTGGCATTGACTTATATGCTGCCCCTGTCTTCATGTTGTTGCTGGACATATCTTTTTTTAAATGTGTGTAGGTCACCTAAATCATCAGAAAAATTGCCCCCCCTGAGAATTTTTTCAGGAGCCGCCACTGCTCCTCACTCTCGCAACGTTTGAATTCTGAGCTACCTGAGTACATTTTTTCATTTTCGTACTGGACGCCAATGTTCCTCACTAAACCGCTGCCCTCTACACTCAGCTCCATTCCTTATTCCTCGCTGTCCGTTGCCACATCTCCACACTCTTTCTGCTGCGTCATCCTCAGTAGTCGCAAACTGTTCTAACGGTTCTTCTATCTTGAATTTGCCGCCATATCGAGTCGACTCAAAAAGCACTACCAGCCGCCATTACTCCTCACCCCCCCCCCCCCCGCAAAACAACCGATCGTGACGTATGAGGAAATTCATAAAGGAAAGCCAATCATATTCTAGAAAAGTTTTCACACTTTTCCACATAAAAGGTGTGTTTATTCTATAGATGTGTTGACATTGCATAATGGGATGTGTAAGAATTGTGCTATATGTAGAAAATGAATTTATATTTATCATTTCACCGTGTGGTCACCCGTGGGCAATGTTCCCTCTAATGTTTTGGGGCACTGAGCAAATTGTAAACCATGTTTGAGACCAACGTTTGGCCGTGGATGTGTGAGAAGCGCGGCAGTATCTCTCACATAACTAGAATGAGATTCACTTTCTATGATCTCTCTCTCCCTCTCTGCTCTGATAGACATGAGCTTGCGACTCTCATCTCTCCAGCGTTGCACTTCATCATGTATTGCCTTATAGAAGGATTACTTTATCCTATCCCAGGTATTCCTTAAAGAGGTGGGGTTTCAAGTGTCTCCGGAAGGTGGTGAGTGACTCCGCTGTCCTGGCGTCGTGAGGGAGCTTGTTCCACCATTGGGGTGCCAGAGCAGCGAATAGCTTTGACTGGGCTGAGCGGGAACTGTGCTTCCGTAGAGGTAGGGGAGCTAGCAGGCCAGAGGTGGATGAACGTAATGCCCTTGTTTGGGTGTAGGGTCTGATCAGACCCTGAAGGTAAGGAGGTGCCATTCCCCTCACAGCTCCGTAGGCAAGCACCATGGTTTTGTAGTAGATGCGAGCTTCAACTGGAAGCCAGTGGAGTGTGCGGAGGAGCGGGGTGACATGAGAGAACTTGGGAAGGTTGAACACCAGACGGGCTGCAGCGTGAAGGAACAGCGAGTTGCAGTAATCCAGACGGGAGATGACAAGTGCCTGGATTAGGACCTGTGCCGCTTTCTGTGTAAGGTAGGGTCGTACTCTGCGAATGTTGTAGAGCATGAACCTGCAGGATCGGGTCACCGATTTGATGTTAGCGGAGAACGACAGGGTGTTGTCCAGGGTCACGCCAAGGTTCTTTGCACTCTGGGAGGAGGACACAATGGAGAGAGAGAGAGAGAGAGAGAGAGAGAGAGAGAGATAGAGGCTTTTGGCAAGAGCGCATCGGCCATCACCAGAGAGTGAGCTGCGAATCATTGGGTGAGTCAGTGAAACTGAAAAGCATTTTTAGGAATATAATTTCCTCCTCATATTGTACAATATGTGTCTCCACACACCTAGGCCTAGGCTATTGAGGGATTCAAGACAAGGTCGTCTTTATTGATCTCAGATTCTCAGTTTGTCAGTGTCAAAGTAGCCTGCCATTTTCGATCATTTTGCGGTATTAAAAACGATTCTGCCAAAGTCTCCAGTCATGTAAAATGACATAGAATTGCATGAAATGCATTTGTAAAAGGCAAACGTTTTCCCGGACCATAGGCTACAATATTTTTTCCCCATCTGTGCAACTATAAGTGTCTCTACTCTACTTCTCTATGCCTTAATGTGTTCCTTCACCTCAGAACTCCCCAGGTCACCTCGAGCTCACTTTTTGTTCCGGCACCTGCCGTTTAACAAATTAAGCACTGCTTATCTATAACTGGGCTAATGACTCGCTAACTAGCAAAGAATATCAACAAATGTGCACGCTCTGATTGAAAGACTGCTCATGGGCTGCCCCAGCCAATAGAATTGTACTCCATTGCGCTCTGGCTCTGCCTACAACAAAATCACAGACTCAGCCACGCAAATGTAGATTTGTTTTGGTTTGTTGCATTGAAAAGGGGTTGATGTAATGTTGATTAGATCACAGAAAAAACGTTGATCTATGTAGTGAAAACGAATGGGGCGGACTCAGTGAAGTTCAATCTCTTGTACCTC